ATTGATTTTGTTCCTCTAGAAAACCCTAACTAATACACCACCCTTCATATCTGTGGGTTCTGCATTCATGGATTCAACCAACCAGAGACCAGAAATATTTGAAAAAGAAATTGCTTCTGTATTGAAGATTCAGAAATTCTTTTTCGTGTTTCTGTACCTAAACAATACATTTTCATAATATTTGCCTTGTGTTAAGCATGATATAGAGGAGGAAGTATACAGAAGATGGACATAGGCTATGCCAGTATTATGTCATTTTAAACACGGGACTTGAGCAGGCATGGAGTTGAGTCCACGGAACTAACTCCTCACAAACACCAAAGGAAGAGTGTGTTTATGGAGTAGGGCTAAGTGCTGTGTGGGGTAAAGACTGGGAAGAACAATTGGCTTAGCTCTTCCCCTCCTGGAACTCATCCAGTGAGAAGGACAGTGAGATATTCAATCATTCACAAGACGGAGTAAGTAGAATCTGCCATGGGAGCTGAAGAGTCCCTCATTTGATTTGATGTCCAGCAAATGCCTTCCAAGAAAGCAATCGCTAGGCTGAGCCAGCATGACCATGGTGCTCCGGAGACCTCCTTCTTTGCTTAGTCTGCTCACCTTCCAGGCTTGCTGCCCTCACTTCCTCCTGCTCTTTTGTCTGGGTGAGTGTACATCATGGTCCTTGTGCTCACAAAATGAGTGCTTCTTAGTTCCTATTCTATGTGATGAACACCATGAAGGCAGATTCCACGTCTTACTAATTTATGTCCTGGGTCTTGTGTGAGTGCATGGTGAATGCCCAGAGACACTGGCTGACTTTCCCTGAATTCCTTTCCCCTTGCTCTCTCTGCTCGATACCTGACTTCTAGCCCTGGAGGTGCCCTGTGCGTTTCTTACCCTGTCTGGTTAGGCTTCCCTTATGCCTGATGTCTAGACTCCCTGCAGATGGTGCTATCACTTTGGCCCTCAACTTACTCCAGGACTGCAGGACTCATTATTTGCTTTTATCCCTCAAACAGAAGAGGTGCCATTTTCCATTCTACAAACAGAACAAGTACTTCCTGCTAAGAGGCATCTGTCAAAGGAAGAAGTGCTTTCAAAATGGTGCCTTCTCCAAAGTTTAAGGTTTAAGAAAGGATGTTTTTAAATAAAGGAGTAAAGCTTTAGAAAGAAATCAAGCAAGCAAGCAAGGAATGAAGGAAAGGAGGGAGGGAGGAAGGAAGAAATTATAAAAGACAGAGAGAAAGAAAAACAAATAATTAGAGAAAGAGAAAGGAAGGAGGGAAAGGAGGAAGAAGGAAGAAGGAAAATGAGCTGTATATCCCAGGATGCTTCCTTATTTACACTGGCTTCCGGGAAGCCCAGATTTAGGGTCAATGTTCATGAGGAGCAACTTTTTTTTGGGGGGGGGTACCGGGGATTGAACTTGGGTCTTTGCGCTTGCAAGGCAGGCCACCAAACCACTGGGCTAAATCCCCAGCCCTGGAGCAACTATCTTTATATCATGTTTCCTACAGAATTATTTCCCTCTGTCATCTGAGTATGTTCTGCTTATTTTTTTGAATTATAAAAAAGCACTTAACTTGAAGTGTTTATCTACATATATAGTCAGTCTCCAAAAAATGTAATTACATTAAAAGAAAGATTTAGGATGTAATTATATTTTCATATGGGACTGTGCCGTAGTTTTTTGAATTTATTTTAAATTATGGGTTCACTGTAGCTCTTCACATCCTTAATTCAAGGAGTATGTTATAATAATTTTTCTTTTCTTCCTTTCCTTCTCATTTTTCTTTTCCTGTAAAATAAGAGGACGTGTTTGACTTATGGTCAGCTTGCTGAAACAACATTCAACACCTCAGGTAACAAAGGAAGAAGGGAGGGGGACCACAGACGAGGGAAGGCGTGGGGAGGGAGGGATTTCCTTTCTGAGCACTGAGTTTCCAGCTTCCTCCTTCACAGTCATCTCAAGTCATGCATTTTCCATTTTACAAGTGAAGAAAGAGGCTTGCCGTGGTTAAATGACTTACTTTTCTGTTTGGAGAAGTCCAGAAATGGCTTACTATTTCATTATCTCATTCCTTTATTCCTGAAATCTCCTCTTCCTCTTTCAGATTTTAGATAATAGCCCTCTTATCTGCTTCTAGATGTATAGGAATCCTCTGTATTTCCCCCCACCCCCAGCTTAACTGTGTGTCTACTTCCCGCTCCTTCTGCCTGTTTAATAACTTCACCCTCCTCCCATTCTGTTCACCTAAGTCAGGGCCCATGTGCTTTCTGCTTGGGACCATTTCAACCATCGTTTTGCTACTATCTCTGCTTTCCGATATTGCTCAATGGCAAATCTGACATCAACTCCTCGGATGCACTCGTTTGCCCTCCAGGAAAAGGCCCTGGCCAAGTCTCTCAGGGCTTGCATCTCTGTGCCTTTCTTCCTGTGCAGTCATTACCCTGTGTTCCCTGTATCCGTCCTACACACCAGGTACACGGAGTGGCTACAGAGTCCCCAGCAACCAGGGGTTTTCATGCTTCTCAGCTGTTTACTCTTTGCTTTTCCTGAAAGGCTCTTGGGTGAACATCTCTCTCTCTCTCTCTCTCTCTCTCTCTCTCTCTCTCTCTCTCTCTCTCTCTCTCAATATCTACCTGGACTTTCTATTCTCATTTCCTTTACCCCACTTTCCAAAGTGTTAGGCATCACTTTCCCTCGAATGTAGTCATACCACACTGTGATTTTCTGGTTTTATATTTTACTAAATGACTTGTCATTTTATTGACTTTACAAATTTTGCTTTTGCATGCCTAGTGTCTCACTGTTTCGTGTTCCTGATGACTGGGTACCTTATTCCTCCTTATGTCACAGGTTTATGTCCACTGTAAAATATTTCTGATGAAAGGTAACATTGCTTGGTCCATCACAGCAGTAGGTGGGCAGAAGATGAGTTAGTTGGTAATCAGAAGATGGTTTTTAAAAGTCTTGCAAATAGAAACTGTCAGCCTTCCACTGTTTCCTTTGCAGTGACCACTAGCGTTCTCTGCTCTGAAAAGTAGTCATTGAAGTTAGAGGGGCAATTAATTACCCTTCTGCCCATGAGTTCGCAACAGTATTAAATAGGAAATAAGATATCAGCAGATTTGAATGAGCAGTTTTAGTTCAGGCAAAACTGGATTGGAGAACACACCTTGGATGTAAGGATAAGACCAGGGTTTTGGCTTCATTTCTGCCTTGGATATGGCTGATTTTCTTGGGCTTAGGGAATTGTGGGCAAAGGGACTCTGGCTCGCAGCCATGGGCTCATTGCATGGGAGAAAAGCCTTGAGTGGTCTCAGGGGAGAAGGTGGGCTGGCCACACATGGGAGGTGAGCCTCTTCCTAACATAGAATGAAAGAATAGAGAACAACATTATGCTCTTTGGCCTCACCAGTCTATGGAGAGGTAGGAGAATGCTGTCCTCCGTAGTCCTGGGTTACTCCTATAGGAAATGAAATCAGTGTGTCAGGGAGATCTCTATACCTGCACATTCACTGTAGGACAATTCACAATAGCCTAGATATGGAACCTAGGTGACTATCAACGGATAAATAGATAAGAAAAATGTAGTGCATATACACAAAGGATTACTATTCAGTCATAAAAAGGAGGAAACCCAGTCATTTGCCATACCATGGATGGAACTGGAGGACATCCAGATAAGGCAGGCACAGAAAGCCAAATGCCATAATTTCATCCACATGTGGGATCTAAGAAATGGATCTCCTAGATGTTGAGAATAGAATGGTGGTTTGCAGAGTTTGAGGAGAGAAGAGAGACAGGGAGAGGTTGGTCCAAGGGTACAATCTTATCATTGAAATAGGGAATAAATCCTCGTGCTCTGTGGCATGAGGGTGAATAAAGCTAATATCAGTGCATAGTATTCTTCCAGGTACATATAAGATTGTGGGTGTACCTATCATAAAGAAATCATAAAAACTTGAAAGTGGCGGGTGTGTTCATTAGCTGCTCTGCTGATACTGAATGTATACATAAATCAAAACAGCCCATAAGTCAAAACTGTACCTCAGATGTGTACAATTATTATGTATCAAGGGGTCTTGATCTAGGAGTTCTTTACACAGTGGGGCTCTGGTAAGCCTGTGTTTACCTTCCTTCACCTAGCACTTAGCACTTCATCATGGTGCCGGGTAGATCATTAGAAGCTTCTTCCACGAAGGACATATATGTTACTAACACTGGAGCTCAGTGATGAGGGAACAGCCAGGCAGGGGTGCTCTGGGAAGAATAACTCTGTGACTGATTAAAGATCGCGAAGGATTTTTCCTTACAATTTTGTCAGCCCAAGCCCAGCCAGTCTTTTAACTGCATATCCTCATGACAATGAAGAGTGGTGGCCTGGGTGCACCTGAAGCTTGCACCGGTGGCCCACGCAGCACCACACTATTTTGAGTGTGGGGATGCTGCTGTTGTTCCTTCAGCACTTGGCTTTTACCACTAGGATCCAGACGCTGTCTGACTGAAAAAAACTCCACTGCTGTGCCCTGGCCTGGAATTTATTATTTCATATTTAATTCATTTCAGGTTGGTGGGTCTGCATTGTTTTACTGCTGTGTTTCCTCCAAGCTGTGATGTGTTTAACTTGCCAAGTTCTACAAATTATAGAATGGTAAAGAATTTTAAAAAGTATAGGGGAAGTTGTGGCCAGGAGGCAGTGATATAAAATGAATAGATCCTAAGTTTACACCAAGAGCCTGCTTTTTTTAGTGAATCAAGATGGTGTTCTTTTTCACATCTTTTACTGGGTGTGCAGCCTACAGGAACCTGGCAGTGGTGTCTTTTAGGCCACTGCTTCCCAAGTAAATGTGCTCACAAACCACCTGATTCAGCAGGTCTGGGCTGGACTCTCAGAGGTTTGATTTCTAACAAGCCCTCCGTGATGCTAATGACTATCAAGAACCGAAGTTACCAAATCAAAACATCAGCTCCCCATCTCATCACAATTAATTTTATTCCACAGCATGTGTAAGGGAATGTTATTCTCAGGGAGATGTTTGGGATTAAAATAATTAAAAAAACCTGGAAATTACACACATTTATGTATCTATTCTTTTCATTAAATATATATCTGTTTGGCAAAAAATGTTAGACTCTTTTGTACAAAAACAAAGCAAAAAAAAAAAAAAAAACAAACCCAAAACCCTTGCAAATTGCAAATACCTATAATAATTACAACGATGTAAACTAGGATGTCTGAGAGCGTGACCATCCCATGGAACCTGGGCCCCCAGGAGGAGGTGACACCCAGCTCTTGGACAGTGACAGCCCATCACAGAGGCTTTTAGGCTTAGTCTATTAGGGATGGAGTGTGACTACTGACTGCATTTGTGCTTTCAGCTAAGAGGCTGGGAGCAGGTGTGGCATGAAGAAGGCAGATCCAGGCCGGGGCAGGGACAGGAAGCCCTAGACCGGTACGGAGGGGAGGTCAGGCACTGTCACAGTGCACACACAGAGAGGACGTGGGCTCTGCGGACCATCTGGGAGACCCAGTGCCCGTGAGGACTATGATGAGGTTGCTGCTGCTGCTGCTGCTGCTGCTGCTGCTGCTTTGGGGACTGCAGAGGAGACCAGGGTAAGACCAAGGCAAGGAGAGGGAGGGAGATCTGGACGCAGATCTGATCTCGGATAGAACTGGTAGTATGAGGTGGTCCTAGAGCAGGGAAAGGGGGTGTGGTGTTTGGTCTTCTCATCGAGTAGCTGCGCCATTTCTTCCAGACCCAGGTGGGGGCCATTCTTCTTGGTCTGGTGGGCATATCTAGGGCTAGCCTAGGGCTGCTGGCTTTCCTCTTCCAGGAAGGAAGGACATTCCAGCCAGGGATTGGGACAGAAGGGCCCTTGGCTCTCTTATTAGCGTGGCTTTTGCTCTTGTCCTACCAGTGATCTGCAGCAATGGGAAGTGATCTAAAGCAGTGAGTCTAAAATCAGATTCAAGGAGATGAGCAAAGTGCCAGGACAGGGCTGCAAACGCCAAGGGACACCAGAGGAAGGACTGACTTGCAGTTTCCCTTCATCAAAGAAAATTCCAGGGTGTGCCCACACTTCCAGTCCTCTCTCCTGTTAACTAGATTTTTCTAGTTTGGGGCGGGAGGGGCGTGTCTGAGCCCAGCCACCTCAGTTACAGTCATAGACGAAGTCGTAGTTGCTGGGCTCCTTGGGGATCGGTGGGGGTGCATCAGGGATCTGGATGTTTTCCAGGTCCAGGAGGCGGAGCTTGATTTCCATGCTGAGCAAGGTGTCCAGGTCATTTCGTGTGAGGTCGCTCATCATGTCTTTCCCGAGTAGTGCATTCAGTCCATCGGTCCAGATACAGTACTGGGGAGAGGAGGTGACAGTGATCATGACTGAGGACAATCCCAAGAGTAGTAAAAACAGCTACAGACATCACTTAACCAATACTCAACATGCGGTAGGCTGTTTCTGTACACTGTCATGTAATACAGCCTCTTTACAAAGCAGACATTCTGTTATCATCTCTGATTTATGATCACGAACTGTGGTGAATGTTTAAAAATTTAAAAAGTTATTACAGTAAAAGACATATTGTCATCAATCCCTCCCAGTCACCCCCCTTGCTTTAAATACGCTTATTCCATCCTTCTTGCCACTTTCTAAAGCAGTTCTGAAAGTCTTGCTTCATCAGTGTCTTTTCATGGCTGCCTTGATATTCTGAATCAACTCAAAGCATTTATGGCAATTTCTGTCACAGAAGAACATGGTGTGTAGTCATTCACCTTGTTCGCTGGATCTGGATGAGACCTTTGGCTCTTCCCCAAAGTCAAAATGGCCAGGAAAGGTCAACATTTTTAATCGATTCAGGATAGTGAGACAGCCTTGATAACACAACCAAAGAAAGTCCTCTGAAAGAGGACTTCCAGAACTGCTTCAGAAAGTGGCAGAAATCATGGGCTAAGTGCCTTGGAAGTGAGGGGCAAGTTTTTGAGGGGGATTCATGACAGTGGGTCTTTTATTGTAGTAAATTATTTTCATTTCAATATTCACTATATTTTGTGATCACACCTCTTACAAGTTAGTGAATGAACTAAGGCACAGAGATATGGTACTAAGTAGAGTGGGTGGGATTTGAACTCCAGTCAGTTGGCTCCAAAGCCTTGCTTGCCCATGCAGGAATATCTCCCTAGATAACAGCATAGGATTTCTGTCCTTCTGACTGCAGGGTAATACTGCTAATGGCTCACTGGTGAATCTCCAGCTTTAATAAATTTCCAACATTCCTGGACTCAGTATCAGGCCAGGGTTGCTTCTTACTTTCCCAGTCATAGTTCACAGTCTAGTAGCTGATGTCTGCCTGTCCCATCTGACTCCTAGCACATACAATGTCAGCTCTGTTCCATCCTGGAGCCAATGGAGGTCTCTCTTTTATGTTTCTCAGCAAAAAGACTAGGAGATAACCTTATGGTGCATAGCACACAGTGTCTGGTGGCCAAAATAGCTACAATTATTGGATAATCTTAGTGGGAGGTGGATTGGCTGCTAGTGTGTGGACCTCCTTCCCTGCTTGGGTCTCCAGTGCCCAGGGCTTTTCTCCACTAGTTCTCCTATGCCTTATCCCTTGGCACATCCTTTGCTTTGGAAACTCTCAGAGCACCCAATGAAGAGTTCTACAATTTTCTTGCAAAATCAGTGGTAACCTTTTGCCTCTCCAGCAAGCTACAAGTTCCTGGGAGAGGGAGGACTATGCTTCATTTGTCTGAGCAACTGCTTTGTTCTTGTCAGTGTCCCTCCCAGAGGTTGGGTCCTGGACCTGACCCTTAAGAACCCTGTGACATCACATTGGGAAAAAGGTGGCTTCTGCTGCTGGCATCTCAGAAAACTGCCTGCTTTTGGAGGCTGTCCCACTCACCTGTTGTGCCATCCCTGGTTCTTGTTCCATCCTCTCTTGGCCTCACTGGATCAAGCTGCAATTCCAGACCCTACCTAGCCTGTCCTTTGCATTGGCACTGCATGGTCTGTGCAGCCAATCTAATTACTGGAAGCATTAATCCCTGGATGTGGTGGAGATCTGCCGTGACGCATGCAGTGGCATCATATTGTAACTTGAAGAGGTGACCCTGGGCGTACAATTAGTTCCATATCTGAGGGTTGCAACATTGAGCCAGAGGGCTTTGGTTCTTCTTTGGGTGTGAGAGCTCAGCCAAATCATTAAACCCATCTAAACACAGGCTGGAGTTAAGGGATTTCTGGAAACTCATGTCTTCATGAGTGCCTCAGCCAGATTCTGAGCACATCTAACCATCTGTTTCCTTGCAAATAACCTCGATAGAAATAGATACCTAATTCCTACTCTGGAGAACCTGCTTTTGTCCATCTGGGATGAGAAAACTTTATTAATAAACGCTTCTAAGAGTATGATGGTGCACACTTGTAGTCCTAGCACTCCAGGAAGCTGAAGCAGGAGGATGGCAAGTTCAAGTCCAGGCTGCTCACATTAAGGTAACCAGTGAGACTGTTTCAAACTAAAACAGGGCTTAAGAAATGCAAAGGCCCTCAGTTCAATCCTCAGTACTGCAACAGCAAAATTGAAAAAGCTTCCCAGACTATACTGATGACTACACAGACACTGGTACCACTCAATGCCATGCTCTGGAAGGCCCCTGTTAGCTGTTGTTTCACAGTAAATCCTCATGTCCTAGGGTTTACTGTCCCTTATACACAGCCTTCCTAGCCTGGGACCATTTCCTGGTGTAGATTAACTTAACCCACTGGAGCACCTCTTTTGAGAAGCAGCAAGCACGGAACATCTTATTTTTTTTCTATGTTGCCCACTAAATACAAGCTCTTAGTACTGAATTTGAGTTGGAACTCTCAGTATCAACTCATGATATCTTAACTCCTAGTTCTGTCCTCCCCTCAAGAGGCCTAAAAATAATGACCAAGTGAGAAAAAGTACACTTTATGTCTAGATTCCATTTGCTAACTACTGTTTCCTATTAAAAGTAACTCAGGATGTACAGAGAAAAGACAAGATGGACTTAGAGTATCCAGAACACCAGGAAGTGATGAAACATATGAGGACCAGGTCATTAGGATTCATAGACCACCTTGATGGGTACTTACTTGCCCCAGAGGGACAATCTGAGCAATAAAAATAACTGCAACAAATATGTTTAAATCCATGACTCTGCAATGATACTCAAATGCCAAACACAACTCACTGGCCTTCTTCAAGACAAGCTTATTATTTCAAAAACTGGTAATGAGAATCAAGGTATTTGTTTCCCATGCATTTTGTATAACTTTAGAGTAGCTAAAGAGTTGATGAGGTTAGTTTCTCTATATATTCCATGAATCAGTGCAAGGAATGAGACACTTGAGATATTAGCCTTCTGCAACCTAATAACAGATCTAAGGATGGGCAATGATCATCAGCAGCTGCTAACATTTTAAAAAAGAAAGGCAAGAAGATAAAGTTAAAAGACATTCTGCTGCTGTTTATGTGTACAAATTGAGCCCGATTCTGGTTAGTTTTCTAATTAGAAATTTTGTGGATAGATAGATACATGAAATGATATTGCATGTTGCGGTGGGCAGAAAAACATCTACCTGTTTTAAGATCTTCACACTCCACCCCCTAGGTCCTGTTAAAATTCTAGGTCATGTGACAAAGGGAATCAAAGTTGGTATCAGCCAACCTTAAAACAGAGAGGTTACGCTGGATTATCCACATGGCTCCATTGTAATCATGAGGTCCCTTTAAAGTGAGGAAGAGGGAAGAGTTAGAGAAACGAGGGAAAGCAGGAGGTCTGCGTATGGGAGAGGAGGTCAGGGGGATTTGATGAGAGGGTTCTAGCTGTCACTATTGTTGGATGGATGGATGGAGGCTGAGGAATGCGGACAGCCTCTAGGGTAGAGAAGCAAGGACTCACACTGTCACCTGGAGCCCCGGGGAGGGAATGAAGTCTCTACCACCTAGATGTTAGCTTGGGGAGACCTGTCATGCTTTGGACCTCCAGAATTCTAAAATGGTATCTTTATGCTGTTGAAAATGAACACTGAGTGTGTGGTGGTTTGCTGCAGTAGCCACAGGAAACAAACACAGAGCTGAAATGAGCACCAACTAGACTGCTGATAATGTTATTGGAGTAATGATCCGGTTTCTTCAATACATAACCCAGCAGGAAAAAGAACATGCACGGGGTTGTGAGACTAGAGAGAGGGGTGGGGGAGGTTGACTTAAGAATCACTTCAGCCCATCTCAATGCCTGGGTCCTGTGGGGATTCTGATTGAGTGGAGTGTCAAAGGAAAAACACAAATTATACAACTAGAGAAATCTGAAAAATGAGCAAATCTCAGCTCTACCATTTACTATTGAGTGACCTTGGGAAGTTTCTTAACCTCTTTCACTTTCCTTATTTACCAAACAAGGTCAATGTTAATTTGATTCTTTTAGAGCTATGGAAGGATCTTTAATGAGATGATATTTAATGGGGACTGGTAGAGAGTGATCCAGGTGAGTTATCATTACTATTGCCCTTTCTGCTGTGGGCCTTCAGTTCTGTGAGGCTTCACTCTTTTTATTTGATAAATGAGGATACTGTAAGAGAACTTTCTGTTTTATGGAGTGATCATAAAGGTAAATAAGTTATTAGATATTCAAGTGTTTTGAAGAAATTAAAAGTGCTCATCAGCATATGACATTTTTCTCCTCATTGCATCTGTAAGAAGTGGCAGGATAGAAATAAAAACTTGGCAGTCCCAGAGCATTTATCTTTATCTAAAATTATTGTACACACTCTGGGGAAAACAGCCTAGCACTGATTCAAATAACAGCCCAAGTTCTATTATTTTAAGTAGTTTTCTATACATCCTGGCTATGGTGGCCTGTGTCTAACCACAATTTTGTCTAAAAACAGAAATAGCAGGACATGAAATCTATTTTCAGAAAGATGAATACAAAGTCTTACCCTTCTGCAAACTAAATGTCAAGTGACACAGAATTATATTTAAGTGCCATTCTAAAAGCAGGATTTGTGCCTAATCTTTCTTCTTTCTTTTGGATGTACAATTTTATTCAAAAGCTTCAAACCAGTGAAAACTAGATGCTAAATACCTTCTAAATGAGCAAATTCTCCTAGGGGAAATGGGGAACAAAAGTCAGATTCTATTATCTTCCTTTCTAAAAGCTGTTTATGCAACTACATGTAAAACAAAAATTTGAATGGTGTCATCTAAAAATAAAAGTTTCAAGCATGATGGTGGGCTCTAGTTTAAAGGAGAAAAAGTTAAATCAACCATAACTGCTACTTTGTCTTACAAATGCATTTTCCTAGATTTATGCTAAATATTTTAAATATAGCTGACAGCATGCTTCAAGAAAGGAAACAAATTATACATATAACAAGATGTCAAAAAGGAATAAAAGCATCTTGGAAATAAAATTCTAAGAGCAGAGACAGCCTTAAACCTCTTAAAATAGCTTAAAGAAACTTGGTAGAGAACCTATTTCATCAGATGTTTAAAAAGATAGAGATTAGTTTATCTTGGGAAAATCCAGATCAAAAACTAAATATTCAATGGAAGCCAAAGCTCTAGCCTGGACCACATCTTTCACTGGGTTAGGAATTATGCCTTTGCTAATTAGAGATATATGTACATCCATTTTCCTTACCATTATGCTATAGTTCAGGCCTTGAAGGTCCCCAAAAGGTCAATTGGCTAAAGGCTTGGTCACCACCCTGTGATACTACTGGGAGGTAGTTGAACCTTTAAGAGGTGGGGGCTAGGAGAGGAAGTTAGGTTATTGGAGGCATGGCCTCAAAAGGTGTTGAGACCCTGCCCTTTGTCTCTCTCTTTGCTTTTTGGCTGCCACAAGGTGAGCAGCTTCCTCCTTCTTGTGATTCTGTCATGATGCACTGCCTCACCACAGGTCCCGTGAAAACAGGACCAACTGAAAATGGACTGAAACCTCTGAAACCATGACCCAAAATAAGTCTTTTCTCCTTTTCATTTATTTCAAGTATTTATTATAGTAATGGAAAATGACTAACATATATTTACTATCAATCCAGCTATGAAGATGTTGGGCTTCTAACTGGACATTTTTTCAGGAGGTTTCTATTTATTACAAGAAAATAGGAAGCTGCTTTGTTCATGATTTTCTCTAGTAGGTTTTTTTTGAAAGGAAGGAAGGAAGGTAGAAAGGGGGAGAGAGGTAAAGAAAGAAATCTTCCTTTCCAGTATTTTTCCTTTGGCTTATTTTTCAAGAGACACTGTCACATTCTCTTGTAAATTAACCCCTCTGAGACCCTCACCTCGTGCTTGTCAGGAGCAATGAAGTTCAACTGGCAGTTGGAGTCATACAAGATTGAGAAAGCAAGTTCAAGCACCTCCTATAAGAGATTACAGAAAACACAGCATTAAAACAGCCACATTTCTTTTGCAGTTCCAAATGGCTGCACCTTGAACCTGAAGGAGAGCCTTCCCCCTCCCCTGCAGGCGGGGCAGCAACAAAGAGGCTGGAGGGAGGAAGGGACATGCTTTTTGAGAGTTACAGCAGAGTCCTTTCCCTGTTTAGGAAGATGGCATGAAACATCTCATGACAGCCCACATAGAAGGTGTTATCTTTGCCTCTTACTGGGTGGGGCTTGGAGATACAGTAAAACCTTGGTTCTTGAATACTTCTATTTCCAAACAATTTGGTTCGCAAACAAAAGTGTTCAGCAAAATTTGCATCTGTTCCTAAACTCCATATTGGGTGACAAACACAACCATGGACATCTTCCCTACACAAACACAGCTATCTTCCCTCAAATCAAAAAACAAATTAAATTCGTAAACTGAGGCACTACTCTAATAAACCTGCAGACATATCAAAGCTGGGCTATTCCCCTTTCTTCAGCAGAGACATGGGAAACAATGAACTGTCACAATTGGGGCATTAAGGGCTTCTGGGTCAAACTGTTCTCTTGATGTCTGTCCTCTGATCTTTCAGTACTGTGGAGCAAAGGGCACACAGAACCCAGATTTTATCCTCCGATGGCTGCAGGAGATAGAGAAGCAGGGGTGCAAGGGACAGAAGATCTGGGCTCATTGATTGGTATCAACTGAGTGATGACCATGGCCCTTCCCCGGAGCACAGGGTGACTTTGGCCAAGGTCTTCAGTGTCATGTCTAACAGGTACATTAAACACAGTTCTCAAACTGTATGTGCTGAGTGAATGTTGGATGCTAGGATCATTCTCTGGGTCTGAGCAGTCAGCAGGGTGGAGCCTCTGGGGAATGACAGTCCCAGTACATCTTGACACTGTAATGGCTCCTGAGCTAGAGGGGAAAGGACCAGTATACACTCAGGAATGATTTGACTGCATCCACACCAGCACCCTGCAGTGTTACCACACACATGCCCTAGTGGGCCTTCTTTCTCTGTGCCATTGTTGAGACCCACTGATGACTGTTCCCCTCCCCTGTTGGGATCTGGGGGCTGTGCTTCTCAGTACTTGCCCACAAAGCATGTGTTCTTAGGGAGCAAGGTCTTTACATCATCCTCGACCTTAGTCTCTGGAGGAGGGGTTGCCTTTGATGAATAACTCATGGCATAAATGCCCCAGAAAGAAGATGGAAGGCAACAAGATGAGATCACTGCTTCCAGATTTCAGAATTTTAGAAGAACTGAGGTATCCCTTCACAGTGAAAGCCAAGGACCCAATGCTAGCTGGAACCTGTGTCCACACAGCCCACCATTAAGCTACTTCTGGATTTTTGGGGAGTTCGCCTGTCTGGGTCACCTGCAGAGGTCCCCTTACTAGGACAGATCAACTTTGTTCTGAGTACAGAAGTTCTAGTATCTCACACCCAGACAATCTCCCCACTCTACCAGAAACAGAAACACTTGAAGGAAACAGCACTGAGTCACAGGATGGGACTATTCTGCAAAAATACTTCTCAGTGTTTCTTCGTTTTTACCCTTAATTCCTCCATTCATGACCAAACAGAGAAGATGGCATGTGACAAAGGAGTGCATCAAAACAAACACACAATTTTCCATTCAGTTTGGTATTTGTTTCCAAGACCTTGTCTCTTGGGCCTTTTAATTTATAATTAAAATGGTCATGCCCCTACTAGTGGTACCCAAAATTGGTATCGTCCTTTAAAAAAACCAACACGGCAATACATATTAAAAACTCAAGATTCCATTTGTGAATTAATTCCTAAAAATAATTCATCAGCAAGCAAAAGCTGCATATTATAATCTATAAGAAAATTATGACAAATTAAATCTCTCTCCCTCCTTTGGGTATAGGGAAATCACCGATTACCAACTGAGAGAAATGTATGTGGCAAGTCATTTGGTACGATAATTACAAAGACTTGACTGTAGGTGAAAAAAAAGCAGGAAAAATGAAGAGTATGCTCTTACTAGTGGTAATTATGAATAATCCTGTCTGTGGACAGAGAGTGGAAGTGAGCATATGGACTTAAAGTTAAGGTAGTGGGATCACATTCTGCCTTAATCTCAAAAATCCATAAACATTGTTCTTAATATGAGAACAATATATCTTCTATCTCAGTATGAGAATATATGAGGCCTATATAAATGATGATTTATTTACTACTAATCTGAAAGTCATTCATCAGGAAAACTCTATGACTCATACTTGAGAGTTAGGAGGGAAGGAGGGGGAGTTTTGCTTTTGAACAACTAGTTGAGACACTACCAGAGTGGCAGGAGGGGCACTTCAGGGGTAAACAGGACTGGGGGATTCATCCAGGTCTTTCTGGCTGATTCTGGATGACAACTTCAGCTCTTCTCAGGGAAATCACAGGGCCAGTCATCGCCTTGTGACAGAAGCTGGTGTGAATGCCACGACAGCCCAGACACACACTCTCGATTAGGCGCTGAAGTCACTTGAGACCAGGCTGTCAGCATGGTTAGCACTGTGACACTTTCTCTTCTGCAGAAGGGTGGGGAAGGAAGAGGAAGCTGGGGCAGGCAGGCTTGGGGCTGCACCCTTTGTGACATATATGCCTCAGAAAGGGAATGATCAGGACTTTCAGGATCCAGTTCCTAATAAATACAGGCAGGAAATGAGAAATTTGTGAGAACATCAGTCCCCACTTTTAATTTCACCTAGGCTTCCTGGAAGGGGTGGGAGGAATTAATTCTCTGAACTACACATATGCGTACAAGGGTGTTAGCATTTATGATGAGTTTTATAGCTGCTTCCGAGTTTCTGTCACAGAGTCTCCAAGGAGATCACTCAGCAACACTTGGAGCAGGGAGGCTGAGGAACTGGGAGCAATGGCACCTCCTGGGCCACCACTTTGGAAGCTGAAACGTGTTCAAGCTCCCAGTGAAGAGGAGAGGCGCCAGGTGGTAGCAGAGCATAACGCTCATTCTGACATCTACCAAACAAGGCCTTGCTGCTCACCCTGAAGGTCTTTCATTATCTCTGGACTGAACTCCTGTTCCCTTTATGCCCACCTGCCACCCTGCCAGGTGGAGCAAGGCTGTGGGTGGTCAGAGTTCCTGGGAGAGAGGATGAGGGAGGAAGTGAATAACTCTCTGTACCCTGTGGCTTTTGAGTGCCTTCTTAACAACCTGGCACTGGGACCAGGGAGAAGGTGTCCAAGGTCAGGAGGTGCTCACAGAGATGGCACGTTGGTTTGGAAGGTGTTTGAATGTGTGTTCTTTTGTGGATCGAATGACTGATAAAGTAAGATCAGAGTTTTATACCAAGTATTTTCAGCATTGGTGTTGGCTATCCATACACTCTTTTGTGGTAACTGACTGTGGTGGTTGGGGGAGTCTAAACTTGACTGGCTTTGGGATCCACCCAGGAGATTGGTGAGCACACCTCTGAGTATATCTGGGTGGTCATGGAAGTTTAGTGTGGATTTGAAGTCTCTGCCTGGTCCCTGGCCCCACGTTCTCAGGCACTGTTTCCCACTCTGCTTCCCGGTACTCATGAACTAAGCAGCTTTGCTTCACTATCCCCTTCTGCCATGATGTTCCTGCTTTTGAGCCAGCTGACTATGGGCTGCATCCCCTGAAAATGTAAGCCAAATTAAACTTCTCCTTTAAATTGTGGATATAGGGTATTGTGTCTAGCAATAGGAAAGCTGTCGAAGACAATTGCTATATTGGCCATTTTGCCCAGAACTTACTGAAGTACATTGGTTCTCCATCTGTCCAGGTCATCTTGAAGGCTGAATATTCTGATGATAAACATCAGATATTATTTGGCATGTGTGTCGGTGTTAAATCTGGTCATGTGGAATAGCAGATTTCATAGCTATAGCACGGTGTTACTCATCTATATACTTGTATATTTTAAAAGGCAAAATAATCACTCATTCGTGTAGTGTATAGAAAAGACTGCCTTCTACAAGCATCTGTCCCTTCCTGTCTTTAATCTGTCTTAACAGCATTAACAGCCATTAGTTGTCCAATCCAGTTTATTCTTCTTGTCTCCACTTATCATGGAATTTACTGTTTCCCAATCAGAAGATGTGGAAAGGCCCCATGGGAAGACTTTCATGGCTTCTTTGCTTGGCCAGTTTCTTTTCAAAACCCAGCTCAAGAGTCTTCACCCGCTGTTCTCAACTCAGAGTGCCCCTGTGCTGTAGTTCTTCCTTTTGGGAGCACAGATAATGAATTATAGTTGCATGTTTAGATACAAATCATGTCTGTTGAATATCCAGGGCCAGGGCTAGGTCATCTTTATCTTTGGATTCCTAATTCCTGACACAAATAAGATGCTCAATACATTTGCTGAATGAATGAGTGAATATGTTATCAAGGACTTTCAGCTGATACTAAAATGTTATTTTCTACTACAATCTGCTTATTTCAGTTTAAAGATCACACTAGCAAACCAAAGGCTGGATTCTGGAACACGGGCAGAAGGTAGTGTCTCTCACATCACATGTACACTCATCTGAATCAGTGGGATCTGTAAGATCTGTCCTTCAGTGATTACACAGTGACTGTCAAGTAGAGGACTAAAACTTGTGAGCCAAGTACCAAGAATTCCCAACTTGAAATGTACATGAGCAAATCAATTTATAAATTAGAGCTTTAGTTTTTTAATCATTAATCCTTAAAACTCAAAAAGTCTTTTCATTGTATTTATCTCCACCTGTGACAAATTTTTTTCTTTTTTGAGTCTCGGTCAGGAATTTTCTACTCTGTGAAGAAGCCAGCATTGTCGCCCAAGAAGTTTGCCAGGTGCACTGACTTTTGGTAAACAGGTTGAACTCTGAGCTCAAGGAGCTAGCCACACCTGCTCTGTTCACCATGCCCAGAGCTCCTCAAATCTTGGAGAGGGCAATGTAGATTGACTAAATATATGAACACATGTCAGACACTTCAAGGGAAAGGACTTGTGTTTGTCTTTCTGTCCCCAGGGTTTTGGTGAGGTCCAGGTACTCCAGCAGATTTTTGAATGGGTAAGAGGACTGGAAGTCACTAATATTATTCTGCTAACAAAGTGTTTCCTTTATGGATGCTAATATCTTTTACCCTTGGTCAGCAGTTGAGCTACCAAAAGTCCTGCAGCACAGAGTGCGAGAAGCTGCTTCTCTACTGGAAAAACTCTGGAGACTCAGCAGCAGGTCTTAGTTGTTGCCCACCATGCAGTGAAGACTTCCTGTGGACACACCTTGGCTAACGCCTCTCTGTAGTCACAGATCTTCTATTTCTTACCTACAAGTCTCAAAGGTCAGGAGCAGCAGTACTGGGAGAAGCAGTATGGGTTTGGGAAGGTGAGGAGAACAACTGTAACTTTATTTTCTGTATTTTGATGTTTGTCTGAAGAACTAGATGTATGAACACTATTAAAACTAAGAGACATGTAATTTCCATGTGTTTGCCAACAAAAGAGTCAGACTACTGGGGACACAGCATTCTTAGCCCTCAAGTCAGACTGGAAGAGGTGGGAGGGGGTGGTTAGAACATCTGGATTCCAGATGAATTCCAGAAAGAATTCCAGGAAGGAACTTCCATTTGCAGGCTTATGTATTTGTTTACAGCAGTGTGTCCCACGTGTCCACCTCCCTGTCCATCCATCCATCCATCCATTCAATTACTTCAAAAAAGTTAGAAAACACTGCTCATTTACTCGGTTTGCATTGTTAGTCTCCTTTAAGGGGAGATGAGTCAGATACAAGAAGGCCAAATCCACACACACACATAATATGTGCAAATGCGACCACCACCATTTTCATACCTGATTTGATACTGCTGACTTGTACCTTGCTTCTCCTCTTCTCTTCTCTCCCCCGCCCTGGTCCTTTCTTTTCCTCTTCATTCCCTTCCCCTTCCCTTCTTTTCACTTCCTTGCTGACTTTTTGTGCTTGGTCAAGTTAGAAGACAATTTTACTCATCTTTTCAAAGACTCAGTTTTTGCTTTTTTTTTTTTAATTCTTTTTATCTTGTTTTTAGTTTCATTGATTTCTATTCTAATTTTTATATCTTTTGCCTGGCTTAGGCCTAAATGCTCCTCTTTCTTTTTCGTACTAAAGTAGAAACAGAGCAATTTCAGATCTTCATTCTTTTCTATGCTGTATATTTCTTCATAAGCAGTGGTTTCATCACACACACATTTTAATAAGTTATATCTTTATTTTGTTTAGTTTAAAACGTGTTGTAATTCTATTGAGCCTCCTTCTTTGAACTATGGGTAATTCAGAAGTGCATTGTTAAAGTTCTAAACATTTGGGGAATTTTTTTCAGCTACCTTTTGTTGAGTTTGAGAGGTACATGTATTCTGTGGCTTGTTGGGTGGTTCTATTAAGGTCAATTTTACCAAGCTGACTTACGATGTTTAAGTCATCAATATTCTTTTTAATTTTCTGCTTGACTGATCTATTGATTACTGACTTAGGGATGAAGCCACCAATATAATAATGAGTATGTTTCTTCTTTCAATTCTGTAAATTTATTGACTCATGTAATTTGATTTCTTATTAAGTTCATACATGTGCAAGATTGTTATGTCTTCTTGGAGAATTTACCTCTTGATGATTTCCTTTGGTCTGAAGTGTAGTTTATCTGAAGTTAATATAGCTGTTCCAGCTTTCTTTTGGTTAGTGTTTAGTAGGATGTCTTTATCTCATTACTTTTAACTTATATTTAAAATTGAATTTATATTTAAAATTTAAAAGTGAATCATATTTAAATTGAATTTCTTGTGGACAATAATAGTATTTTAAAAAATCCCTAAAATGTACCAGTAAACTCAATTAAAGCTGAAAAAAAAAATCAGTTTGACAATCTCTATTTCTAATTGATGAGTTTAGAACTTATATATTTAAAATGATTATGATAGATTAATATGGTTAAGTGTGACTATGTTAACATAATTTGCTTTGGGATCCACCAAGGGGATTGGTGGAGCACATTTCTGAGTGTGTGAGTGGGTCATTGAGGTGTGGTCTTAGGCTGTGTGTGTGTTCCCTAACCCCCTCCTCCCTGCCACTGCTCTGCTTCCTGGATTCCATGAACTAAGCATCTTTGCTCTTTGGGAGCAAATGATGTTCCTGCCTCGAAGTCAGCTGACCATGGGCTAAATCCTCTGAAACCATGAGCCAAATAAACCCCTCCTCCTTTAAACTTTGAGTATTGTGTCAAGGTGATGGGAAAGCTGACTAATAATAAAGAACAGGTTGATAACTCTTTTATTTTTTGTGTTTGTTTTTTGTTGACTTCTTTTGCTCTGAGTACCATTCAATTCACTTATCGGTACACTTTAATCATCCAATACATTGATCCTATGAAGACCCTAAATGGTGAGTAGTTACTTTTTACCTGGAGTAGCAATAAAAATTTATAATTTAATTTTACCTTCATCAATTGTTTCTCTGATACAGGTCCTTTCTTTAAGTAGATCTAATTTTTTGACCTATATCATTTTTCTTCTGACTCTACCAATTCTTCAAACATATTTGTAGACCAGATCTGTTGGCAATGAATTCCCTCAGTTTTCGTCTATCTGAAAAAAAATCTTTATCATATATCTGAAGGGAACTTTCACTGGACACAGAATTCTAGATGGGTGGGATTTTTCTTTAAGCACTCCATCTACTCCACTCCATTCCACTCCACTCCACTCTCTTCTTGCTTGTAGTGGTTTCTGGTGAAAAGTTCATTCTAATTTTTATCTTTGCTCTTCTATGAATAAGGTTTTTTTTCCCCTTTTGTCTTCTTTCACTTTTTTCCTTTTCCATTTTTGTTTTTTTTTTGGTCTGCAGTTTGAATATAGTATGTTTAAGTGTTTGCTTTTTGGAGTCTTTATCCTGGTTGGTATCTTCTAAGTTTTCTGCACTTTGTGATTTGATTTCTGTCATTATTTTGGGAAGGTCTTGACCATCATTACGTCAATATGTCTTCTGTTCCACTGTCTTCATCTCTTCTGGTCTTCCATTATGCATATGTTATGCCTTCTGTAATTATATTACAGTTCTTTGATGTTCTGTTCTGATTTTTTCCTTTTCCTTTTCTTTTTGCTTTCTTAGAAAGTTTCTACCAGCCCATCATGAAGCTTATTGATTCCTTCCTCAACCACATGAAGTTTACAAACAAATGCACTGGAAGAATTCTTCTCTTCTGCTACAGTGTATTGACTGAAAATAAACTTTCTTTTTGAGTCACAGAGTTTCCATCTTTCTGCTTCCATTACTTCTTTATTTCACATGCTGTCTAATTTTTTTTTCTCCATTAGAGCTCATAACATTTGAAATCTTAAATTCCTCATTCAACAATTCCACTATTTGTCATAATGGAATCTGGTTCTGAGGATCACTTTGTTTCTTCGGACTGCATCTTCGCCTTGCTTTTTGCATGTTTCTAATTTTTTTTTTTTTGTTGAAATCTAGTCATATTATATCAGGTAACAAGAAGAAAGATAAAGTGAGGGTTTTAGGGTGATAATTTATGTTAATCTGACAAGGATGTGAGCTATGTTTAATGTCCACTGAAACTATAAAGGACAAAGGCTTCAAATTCTTCTAATTTCTCTCTTTTTCTGTTCTCTATTGACTTTGCCTTCCCCAAGTATTCCTTTTCAGAGAGTCTGTGTACTCAAGATCTTTTGGGTATAATACACTGCTACTATTTTGGAATTTGTCAGACTTGGTGGTAAGAGATGTGAGTAGTGTAGCATTCTATCATCTTCTAATAAATATTCAACTTTTAGGGGTCCAATGTGCTTCTCTTTTTCGAGAGTTTCTCCAGTTGCATAGGTTTATTCCTCCTATTCTCTCTTCTTTTGCCCAGCTGAAGAATTTCCACCTCTTTAAGGCCCTAATCACTAGTGAATATGTTTCATTCAAGCAGCTGGTTCCTGACTATTTCAGTGACACCCCAGAGAGACTGCTATGGACAAGAATCGGGGAGGGAGACATGAACATAAACAGGTCAAGACAGAATGGATGAGGATGAGGGAGGAAGCTCGAGAGGACAGGGTGATTCTTGGGTCAATTGTACACAGGAAGTGAGAGAATGGAAGACAGTGAGCATTAGAAAAAGATCAGGGATATGTGACTCAATATAATACAGATACACCCATACATATTGTGGTATAAAGAAAAGCTTAGACCATTGCAATTACTGGCTGCACGGTGCAGTCAGAGCTGTTTGTAACAATTTGGAAATCATACCTTGTTTTGTTTAAGGGCACCTTTCTCTTTCATATGAGGGCAGTCCTTTCCCGTCACCACAGCTTTGATATCTGCCACTGGCACTGCAATTCATAAAAGAAAATGAAAGTAGTGACATCACTGGAAGTTTGGATGTCAATAAAGAAGCAGGACAAGGCACCCATGGTGCCATTCCCACAAGCTACTGCAAAAAGAGAAAAGGACAGTGCTAACAAGCTGAAGATCAGCCAGGCAGTGTCCCAGGACTACTAAATATATTGTTATATTTTGGTAAAAATCATCCCTGGAGAAACAAAGCAATATCCATGAGCAGAAGAGTTCTGGTCACTGAAACAAAGAACAAATGAACATCCCTCACAGTAGTGTTAGAAGATGGAATCAGAAGGCACAGTAGGCAACAGTGACTGAAACAGCAACAGTGGTCCTGATCCTGACACTACAGGAGGTTCTGCATGCCCAGAACAACGCCAAGTGCTTTATATGTGCATCAGTATCTTTTCCATAGCATTTGCATCTATTTAGCTTCTGAGTTTGGGATAAATAGGGAAAGCAGCCCTATCTCAAGAAATTTATCTGACTCTGAACAGTTATGAACTCTTAACTCTCCGAAGTCTCTCTCTACCATCTCATTAATTCTCCCAATAATTCTGTGAAGTAGGTTTGATTATCTCCATTTTATGACAATGAAACTTAAACTCAATTAAATAAAGGAAATCTTCCTTTCTGATAGAGAATGCTGAAAATAATGCAATTAGATGAGATGATAGTATTTCCTCTTACTCAGAGGTTACAGGCAGCTAAAAAAGGATAGGGAAAATTGTATGCTTTTAAAATAAACTGAGAAAGAGAAGCCAGAGGATGGTTTGGAATCTTACAAATGCTGAACCTCTCTAATCCCTAGTCCCTCAGTCCCCCCAGTGGTATGTAGGGGAGGGGCACATACCGGCTTGGCTTAACCAAAGGTGGGAGTTTAGGATTGGTGAGTGATCAATTCCTTAGGCTCCCTCATGGTGGTAATAAGAAATTTCACAGTTAACACTCACATGCTTTTATTGAGGAAATTGATTTTAGGATGTGATAGCTAGATGATGATAAAATTACACAGTGTATAGAATTTTAATACAATAGAACTGGAAGGTCTACATTTTCCTGGTCCCTTAAAATTACTAAGAACTTTATCCAAGTCTGATAACACCCCAAGATCTGTTTCATCCTAAGAATGGGGTTGTGATGAGCCCTTCCAGGAACCTCTGCAGGCTCCCTATCATCGGCCCTACTACATCTGCTCCTCTTCCTGATTGTAGACCTTTTTATTAGACATTATTTTTACTCACTAATATCTGGCTTTTTACTTCTCCTAGCAGCAAGACAGACTGTGTTTCCCAGAAACCTCAGCAGTTAGGTGGGATCATGTGACTGTTGCTGACCAATTGTGAGAGGAAGTGCTTCTTACCTAGGCCAAGCCAATGAAAGCTCATGTCTTTGAATATATCTGCCCCAGCTGCAGAAACTGAAGGAGCACATGTTGTGTCCAGATGGTGTAGCTATGGATGGCAAAGAAGTCCTTGGCTTATGTCCCTGAGTGACTGTGTGGTGCAGTCCTTCACCAACTCATAGCAGTTATGTAATATGAGTGAGAAGCTAACTTTGTTGTGCTAAGCCACTGCGATATGGGGTTGGTTGTTCCTGTGGTGTAACGTGGGAGTACAGCTTGACTGGCATAATCTTTACTTCAGACACCTTTCCTGACACTGCCTAGCATCTCAGATTGGCATCTTCCTGTCAGGGGTTCCTGAACCTTCTCTGACCGCTTTCATGACCAAGGATTGTCCCGTTCCCCTCTGTGGCTGACCTGGCAGTTTAGTCACTACCCTACGAGGTCACATTCAGACACTATGGGAAAATGGTTAAAATTTCAGTGGAGACACTGAAGTACATTTTTGATATAATTATAAAACCAATGCTAAAAACCTCCTCAAAGTTCAAATGGAGTTTGCATCACAAGTACATTTTAAAAAGTCATTTGTTATATTACATGGTCAATGAAGTACAGACAGTGTTGGCAATCTACAATTTTAAGTTACCCTTTGGCTTTGAAAACTCACCATATGGAATGGGACAAGAGTAATATAAATGCCTGTCATGGGGTCAACCTTCAGAATAGCTAATAGGAAGACTTCAGGGGAGAAAAGGCACTTTCTCCCTTGGTTGTGTGACAGTACATATTTTATCTTTTTATATATGCACTGTCCCTTGTCAGGGAGATAAGCTGTTAGATCACTCATCAGATGATAGCTAAAAAGAAAATACAAAATCTAAAAATACAGAGTAGATTTGAAAGGTTGCTTTTTACATACTTTGTCTCTAGATGAAATGGGAGAGTAGGCATGGAGAGGGCTAAAAATGTCCTCTCCATTCCAGGAGCAGAACGAGAGGGGTCAGACTTTTCCGTCTTGAATCTAGACTCTAAGGAGGCAGCACAAGGCTCTCAATGAGCTCAAAGCTGAACTAGTATTTTGATCAGGTCTTTTTTGAGGGAGCCAAACAAAGAAGAGGGACCCAGAGACAGGAGAACCAAGAGGGTTGCTAGGGGAAGAAGTACCACTGCTACTTGTGTCCCCTCAGGCATGGCTTCATTTTTTACCATTATTCAGTTTAGGGTGCATTGAGACAATGGTAAGACTGAAGCTCTAAGACAGGAAGTCTCTTATGCAGTGCCACATGCAGTCCTTGCTAGGCTGTGATTCCTCTCTCTCGAAGGTGCCGGCACCACAAATCAAGCTGAGCACGGCCCCAAATGTGATTACCACTTCCAACGTGCTCAAGTGACTCTTTGCTGATATTTGTGTAAGAGACTTTAATTGTGATTTAAAACAAAAATATTACTGAACATGTCAATGTGGCCACCATGATGAAGTTTCTACTGCCACTGTCAGGAGCCCAGTTAGGGCATAACAGTTCCCAAGCATGGCTGGTCAGCCTGGAGCATGAGCTGTGTATACAGTTCCGTGCAGAAGCTCCTTTCAGGAGAGACAGAGGAGACACAGGCTGAGTCAAGGGGAGCTGACTGCAGAATCTGGTCTTCTCTCTTGGTGGGTCAGCCATGCACACCAAATGATAGAAAGAGCTGTGCCTAGATTCCCTACTATTCTACCACTTTGGGATTAAATTCTCAGCTGTAGCTTCCTCATCTGCAAGGGGAAATGATACATGCTGCAGTCCATAGGGTCCCTCTGAGAACTAGCACTGGAGTCAAGATCAGTGTTGGCTCCTAATTTAAGCTGCACATAGTACTGGGTAAAAATGTGGGAGATGCAGTGGGATGGCTTCATTCAGACCTTTGCATTAGTATTTTCTAACCTTGTGGCTTTAAACAAGTTATTTAATCTTTCTGCACCTCCATTTCCAAATCCATGAAATAAGGATGGGTAATACCTGCTTCTTCAAGTTGCATGAAGATAATTTATGGAAGTAAAGCTCTTAGCATGGTGGCTGGCATATTAGAGGCACTCAACAAATGGCACTTGAAATTATTGCCACTTTCAATAATCACAGTTAATTCTCTCTGTAATGGAGGAGGGACCTGTATTCCTCACTGTGCTTCTGGACCCAGGGTCCCCTCTCCACCAGCCTGTGTGGGCTGCTCTTCTCTTTGGCCATAACAGGCTTCGTCTCTTTCTGCAAGGGTATCCACCCATGCTCTTCTCCCTGGTTCTTTGATGTGGGAGTGAGGAGCCTGGCCTAGATATGTTCAAAGGGAGACCGGGAGGCCTGGGGCAGGGCTGGAAAGCAGTGAGCTCTATGTCTAGTAGAGGAGATGACAGCCAGCAAATGCTGTGGGAGGGAATCAGGGTGAGAGGGGGCGTATGAAGATGTGGATTTTCAATGGCCCTATTTCCTGGCAAACAAAGTGAAGATGAAAAGAGAGATTTCCCAAACCTTTAGGGAAGCAGACAGCAAAGGACAGGCCTTCAATCTTCAGTAGGGCTAGCTGTATGAAGAGGATTCAATTACACTGTTGGGTCCATCAGTATCTCAATATTCAGCACTGATTAGCTGAAGGGGCGAAAGAAAATTTCTCCCTTGGTCTCAAGAGAGTGTAGTCATATGCGGCAAGAGCAATGGCACTTAACATTAATTAATGGCAAGTCTCATTTTTATAGTTCTCACTTGTCAGAGCTCAAAGAGGGTGGCTATTTCTGCTCCAGGCAGAGTGGAAAAAGACAGGAAGTCTGAACCAGGAGGCATGCTAGAAGCAGCAGACTTCAATCTAGTGGGCTAGGGACTTCTCACCTCCTCTCGGGGACGTTCATTACATGACTGTATTTGTTTCTCTGGCACACCACATGCAGACAGGTGCAATCTCACCAACACAAGCAAGTGCACACACCCTCTCTCACGGCTATGCACCCTTGGTCTATCTCACAATGGCTAAAGTATGGAACAGCTTTTAGAACTTCACATCACTGGACTTCAAAGGCTGTAAAGGAATGGGAAGGGCAAGAGTTTGGGAGCCCTTGCCAGGAGGGACTGCCACAACCCTCTCCCAGAGTTGGCATCACCATGGCCACTCCCAAAGCCATGAGGAGAGAGATCTGTAGCTCTGGGCCTGAGCTTCTGCCATCCCCTGGCAAGATGGAGACTTTCTGTGGTTAGGATTTTGTTGGTCATCTCCAGCCTTGGTCTTTGGAATCAAAAGCCTTATAGAGTCTTGAGATATCAGCTCATGGATGAAGCCTGGAAGTATCTGATACAGGGCTGTGGTTCTATGCATACTCTAGAGCCTTCTCTAGGAGCAGGGCTCAGTTGCCTAAGAAAATGGCCAGGGGACATCAAACTGGGTATGGTGCATTTCACCTTGGCAAGCCTACCAGTCACATGCTGATCTTTGGATTAAAAAATGGATGCTTTCCATATAAATTACAGAATAGCACATCCATTGGGTGAGAGAGCTGATTCACTCGGCACATGGGGAAATCACACTGTGACTTTTCTGTTCAGATCACTTCGCATTGTCTAGGTCCAGTGGACCACAGGGCTGGGTTGGGGGTGGGGGCTCCCAGACAGCTTCTGGTTGTTCTGATCAGCAATAATCTGTAATTCAAATTGTTGGCTCCAGATAGTTTCTAGTTCAAAAGTTTTCCAGTGAATTTTTGTCCATTAACAGCAAGTGGGATATTACATTGTAGTTATATTTTATTGTATAATATCCCTTCTTTGCCAAAATTAAAAAGTGGTAACACTCTTTCAATTCACTTCATGCACTTACTGGTGAAAGCTGGACCTGAGGAATCACAATGTGTAGCACAGATAATATCTCAAACTGGAGTAGACATCGGAGTTACCCGGAGGGTCTGTGAAAACAGTTTCCCATCTCACCATAAAGCTTCTGATTCAGCAGGTTTGGGGTTAGGGCCCATGAATTTGCCTTTCCATGAAGCTCTTAAGTCACACTGCTGTTGGGTTCTGGGGATCACATTTAGAGAACCACCCACCTGGCTTTCAGAACTCTGAATAGAGGATCCTTGTGTATAGGGACAAGACCAGTACTTTCAGCATGGTTGTAGGGAATAAGACAGGCTCTGCCAGACAGGACTTCGGGGTTCTTCTCCCTGCCTTAGGGTGACAATTGTGTGGGCTAGGAAGGGGGTTCTCCCATGGAAGAAAATGAAGTACCTGGCACTACAAAGTCCAGATTGTCCCATTTTTAAGCCGAAGGAAGAGAGAACATTCCAAGCCGTATGCCTGAGATGACACTGTAAAGTCTGAAAGCGTCACAAAGTTTCCCACTCATGGTTTATTTTTGCCTTTCATGGCCATGAGCTATAGAAGGCAGTTCAGGTTTGATTTCCACGGACTCTCGGGCGACAAGGGGAAGGAATGAGGTGGGGGTGGGGTCTCTCAGGGACACACTTATCTGTACACTGCAGGGTCAATCTAACTTTTAAAGGTCACTTCCAAGTATCCTGGCAGTTTGCTCCCTTTTTGCTTTCTCTCTCTGGCACATCCCCTGAGGCTGCGTTTCCTTTTTCTCATTTCTCTTCCAAATCAATTCATCACCTTTGAGAATTTCAATGCTTCTATTATACTTTAATTGATACACTTAACAATGAACCTGAAACCTGTCACTTGGGCTAAAAGAATTGTGTGTATTACTGCCTCTTCAAAAGCATGTGTGTTAAAGCAGACAACATAAAGAAAAGCAAATAAATGTAAATAAATATTTGGTGAATATTTAGTCAATAGTAGAATGTCATTCACTATAAAATTTTCAAAAACTCAGCTACTTCTTGAGAATAATAATATCTGGATCCAGCATTAACTCTGTATTAGCAGTATGGGACACATTAAACCATCATGAGTACATAAGGTAAAGGCCAAGTATATAAATTACGTGATATTATTTCTGGGTCACAAGAAGAAGACAACTGAAAAAACTGGATTTATGCTGTCTTGGTCCCTTGAGATAGCATTTGGATACGTAATGTCAAAAGTAGACAGCTGAACCCCACTTTTACATTGCTCAGGAAAGATATATGATCATTCCATTTGGATTTCCTTCCCTTGGGACCCATCAAGGTCTCACGCTTCCTGAGAATGTTCAGGCTGGAATGTGCCAAGATGAGCCAAGTTCCAAAGGTCTACTTGGGCTGATAGTGTGACTGCCTATTACACTGTGATGAAAAAACAACCAATGAACCCATATTCAGGAGTCCTATTCAAGAGAGACACTTACGTTTGTCCTGCAGGGAATCGTGGGGCACCTCACCCTGAGGGCTTTCTTCCAAGTCTCCATAATGCAGGACCTTGTGATTTGGTGAAAGTCGACAATACCAAAACTTATCTAAGGAGGAAAGCACAAGTATACAAGGTAAGTGATTCTGGTTCCCAAAACTATGGGCCTGGTTATTTTCTAATATTTTTGCCTAGAGGAACAAGCAATTTGTTTGATTTTAAATCTTGAGAATGAATGGATTCTAGCACCCTGGGCAGGAAGCCCCTTATAATCTGGATACATAGGTGTCGTTTGTACTGCTCGGCATACATTTGGTGATCATTAGGAAAGTCACTAACTCATTCAAGGTCAATGGCAAAAGATTTTCTGAGGTGATGGCTTCCAGAGGGAAATGTCTCACAAAGGGACAATTCCTTATACATCTGGGCTTGTAAAAGCAGGGAGGGAGATGGAGAAGAAATTGTGTGCTTAGGACTTAGCTGCTCCTCTCCCCTGCTTTTTCAGGCTGCCCAGGTAGTTGTGACCAAGGTGACACCTTAGCTGACACACTGCAGCTCACCCCTGCAACTGATGGACAAACATGATCAGTGAATGATGATGGCTGCGAGAGGAGTGGTGCCCATGAGGGTGGGATTCATGAAGGGATCATCTGCATACATCAGGAGTTCAGTGAAGGAGTGCAGATACACACAGTCATTCTCCTTGTTAATTCCCCAAGTTTAGTTCTCTGAAGGGGCATGACCAGGGCCCTGGGATCATTTTTATAAATATCTCCCTCAACTTTCACCTCCTTAGCTACAAAATGTAATGAGAAAATTTGAATAAGTCTGTGAGGCAAGGAGAAATAGGCAAAGAATACTTTTTATAGATCTGTAGACTCATGAATGAGGAACTTGGACAGTGCCAGTAATGTTCATGCCTCTTGTGGCTCCACAGGCTTAGCCCAGATGCTGCCTCCTCCTAGAAGTCCCTTGGTCTCTGCAATAGAAAGGCCTTTCCTCCTGCTCTGAGCACCCTGCCTATACCACAAACACAGCTTGGGCTGGCACTACTTCTGCCCGCAGGCTAACCACCGAGCATGCTGCTTTATTTGTGGTGGCCCTAGGAAAGCAACTTGCCCAGTTACTGATGGGAGAAGAGGACTCCAGGGTACTCATCAGCACTGATGTATGGAGAAGACAGGGAATCTCTGATGACAGCTGCTGTCTTCAAATTGCAAAGTCCCCATCCCTTGGTGCTGTGCATGGCCCATCAAAGCTGCACAGGTGGTCTTGGCTGATTTGATAAATGAAGACCCAAAAGAACACAGTTAAAAGACTGAAGGTCCAGAGCATCCATTACCAGCTCCTTTGTAGCTTTATAGGGTTCACTCTAAGGCCTTAGTTAAGTCACCTCTGGCAATTCCAAACTATTTTGAAACCAATGACTAAAAAGCTCTCTATCACATTTGAAGAAAAGTGGTTTTCTATCTAAAGTTGCTTTCACTGAAAATTCAGGTTTTACCTATAATCCTTTTAATAGACAAAAAGAATTTTAAAAATGGAAGTAAAAGCCACACAATGAACAAAGAAAATGCCCAAAGCTGGCCCACAAAGGGGGCATGCTTTTATGACTCCTACCTTCCAAGGCCTTAAATAGAGCTTGAGAATTTCTGAGTGCGGAAAGGAATCTGAACATAGGCACTAAATTTTGAGGGAGAGGTGAAGGGCATTTGATGACTAGGAAAACATCTGGAGTTGCAACAATTTCAAACTGGCATTATTCACACACCAAACCAAAGCCATTTTTCTGAAAAAGCACTTCAAATGGAGAAGGAAAACGTTATTCCCTGAATTATTCACAGTGATTTTAATTAGGCAAATGTGCAATGACTGGTTTTCCATCAGGAGATGCATTTGGGAATTTTCTGTTCAAGATGGGATAAGCCCAAGGGCTTGGTGCTGGAACATGAAGACAAGGATTCTATGGCACAACCAACAGAGATCATGTACATTCAGTGTATTTTGAGAGGAGGAATTAAGACATTTAACTCATACCCAATTTAATACAAACTAATATAATATGGAGTAAATTACACAACATATTCATTTATAAGATGTCATCATTTGAGAGACTGAAATATTTTGGTGCTTATATTTTCAGACTACATTTATTTACCCAACAAATATTATCAGTGTGTGCAATGCACAATGTTCTACTGGGTACAACAAGAGATCACTGGAATGCATGGAGACTCGAGAGACAAAATGGAAACAAAGGGGAGAAGGCTGCCCTCAGTTCTTATAGCCAGCCAAGAGACAAATGGTGGATGCGCTTGTGTCCCAGTTCTGCGAAGTAGGGGCAGAGAGCAATCAGTAACTCAAGCTGCACCGAAGCAGGACTAGAGGTTTCTTGGGCAACATCTCGAATCCACCAACTATTAGAGAACAGAGGCTGTTTGTCAGAGTTTCAGGAGGTAAATGATCGTCTCCCTTGCAAAGCTGTTGTGGATGTTTTTATAAAAGAAACACAAAGGCTGCCTAGATCTATGGTAATTGTCTGATGTACAGATGATTACATTTCCTCCTGGAAGCATGCATTTCCTTGACTGACATGACACCACCTTCCCCTGCTTTTCCTTTTCTTTCTGGCCAATTATCCTGTTCTTCTGGTCACATTCTGTCTATTCCCAGAATGGTTAAGTGCAAAGAGAGCTGTACATCACTGGTGTAAGCGATATGTCCAGCTCTTCCTTGTCAAATAGCAAATCTTAGAGGGATGGGAAAACATAAGAAAGGAGGGCTGAAAATCCTGAGTAGTCATCTGGACCCATAACTGGGCGCTGCTCAGCTGGGATCTTCCTCTGGGAGGAATCTGGAGCTTTTATTTTTGGCAGGTCTGGAGGTACCATGGTTTGTGTAGCTGTCTCTCACAGGCAGAACTTCCACGAATGAGGGAGAGCTGAGAGCCAGCTGCCCCAGCACAGCACACTGACATATTGGTGTCAATGATTTTCAGCATTGTCCACCAGCAGCAGCTTGATTTGCAGTTTCTTTTATGGTAAATACAATGTGTATTTTCCTTTCAAAACCCAGCATGATGTTACTAGTTCCTCAGTCCCTCTGGGCAACAGAAGATTGGATTTTATCATTAAAAGCAATTAGCAGGAAGCCATGAAAACAAAGATTGTTTGTTAGCATTTAAGGAGAAAATAAGAGTTAATATGGAGGTCTTATAGTCAGTTATGGACGAAACTATGTTAATAGGCATTTTTTCATCCTCAAACAACTATGGAGACAATTTTGTGTGTTAACCTCTTCCTTTCTTTCTTTCTTTCTTTTCTTTCTTTTCTTTCTTTCTTTCTGAGAGAGAGTGAGAGATCAGAAGGAAAAAGCTGCTATTAGACTCAAACGCCCAGGAAGAAAGGCTGATTAAAGCTATTCCCGATGTCACACAGATTATTTCAGAACTAATAACCACTGACCAATGGGATTCCTGACATGCTGCCCAACAGATCTTTCTGTGCTGATGGAAGTATTCTATATCTGCTTTATCCAAAAGTAAGGAATCAAATTTCAATTTTCTTTCATTTTAATTTATACGGTCATGGGTGGCTGGCCAGCTGAGCAGTGGTTGCCATGGGTGATGTTGGTCATTCCATGCAGCAGAGGGCACTGGAAGAACTCAGTCCTGACTCTGCCATGGAAGCAGGGGGAGCCTCTACAGGGTGTGGAGCCTGAAGTCAGCAGCTGCTCTCAGAGGACCCTAAGAGTCAATGCAAAGGAGGCAGGACAGCTTTATCTCAACTCTGTCCTTCAACTACTTTCATTAGGATTTTGTATTTTGCCCAACTCCTGTTGAAGACAGAAACTTTCCAAGCTGTAAAACAAAAGGGGCCTAGCAATGCCTTGAAAGAGAAATGTCATCTTCCAGGTGATGAGATCCACAATTTCTCCATAGATCTAGCAAAGGGAAACAGCAGCTACTGATGCAGAAGAAGGCCATCCTGTCTTTCCCATCTTGCTCACTTCTTGCATATTATTCAGAACCCGACCTGGGCTGTGGTTCAGAATTTTGTCTCCTGAAGCCAGCAGTCTTCTGTCCCAGCATGTGATCCAAAGCTCCAGGTGCTCTCAGAGATGATCTGGCCTTACAGAAGCATCAGAGTTACCAGAATGGATGCTCAAAAGCTGTGGGGTCTTGGCTAAATTATAAAGACTTAGGGATCTCTGTTCTTCATTTGTGAAGTAATAGTAAATACACAAACAAAATACATATTAAGTATCCATTGTGCCTCTTCCATAGGGCTGACTCTCCACAAATATTCACACCTTTCTGGCTTTTAGGTCCCAACAAGCGGCTGTTCCACATTTTGGGAACAGTGATTATCTGTTGTTTTGATCTACTGGAAAGCAACTTCTCCATGAGAAGTTCGCTGAGAACTAGCTTTCCCTTCACTTGAAAAATGCACATTTATTTCTACCTGACATTTTGTTAAAATGGCTTATGCTTAGTCTTAATGAAACTGTAAAAGAAGAATTCCATCAATGATGGAGGAAGAAACAGGTTGCTTCTCCAAATGGTTTATAATTTCTAGAATGAAAATCCCATCTAGCTCAAGGATTCTGACTGGGCCACAGAAGCAATGTAAGGCAGAGAAGTGGGAAAAGGGTGAGGGGGCAGAAGTGTTGTCCAGAATTCAAGTGTAGTATAGTTTTGTCATGTTAGCACTTAGAGAAGGGATGACATGCACTGAAATTGACAGTGTCCTCAATAGATCCCAGTTTTTATGTTATCATTTCCAGTGTTTAGTTCTAGGCTTTACCAAGACCATTCAGTGCTGTAGCCTGGAGCATAGCTCAATGGTAGAGTGTTTACCTAGAAGGCATGAGGCCCTGGGTTTGATCCCCAGCAATACAAACAAAAGAACAAAAAAGAAACCATTCAATTCAATTGAAGCTGAAAGACCTTTATTTCCAAAATCTAGACAGTAGAAGGCAGTTCTTGAGACCATGGTGGCTTGAGCATAGAACAACTCTGGGATTTCATCTTCACTCTTCCCTGAAGGAGTCCAGGGAATGGAGGAGGAAGGAGAGTCTCTCTACTGTGTGTTGTGGAAAGACTCGGGGAACAGGTATGAGATATCTAATGCCACTCTGCCATCTGTGATTAAAAGGCCATAGTCTGAGGAACTACAAACTAAACCTAAGAACATCATTCGTAATATTTGGTCCATGAGCTGTGCGAGCACCACACTCAGTGTGGAAGATGTATAATTTTATGTAACCCTTGCAACTACAGGCTATAGGAACTGGCATCATCTCTGTTCGAACAAAAAGTAAAGAAGCACAGAGAAGGGCAGCAGGTTGCCCAAGGCTACCCAGTTCAAGAGTGGGGAGGCAGGGACTCGACCCCAGCTTGACATCTGACAGACTTTACTACCTCCCGGTTATCATGTAGCTAGAACTCCCAGAAGCCCAAGTGCATCCTGATCACACTTGACTATCCAGGCAGCAGAACTGTGAATGAGAGAGGTAGAAAGATGGGCAAGGATGAGGGGGCCTTGGAGGCAAATGTGGCCCAGGAGAGCACTCAGTGTTACGTTCCTCCACTTTGCAACTCTGTGGGACTGCAGGCTTATTCATATTTTCCCTCATGAAATTAGTCACTTGAATCCACACATAGGCATCTTTCTTGCTGCTGGACAAGTTAATAGAGAGCACAGCCATTGCTTCTGCCCAAAGGGACCTACTCTTTACCCTGCAATGACTGGGGAAGGCAGGTATCCATCCTAGTCTGAGCTCTGTTGTGGAAGTGAGTCTTAACAGGATTAAAATTGATTTTATATCACATTCTTGTTAATCAGTGTAAATCTAAATGGAATGTTCTGATGGGGTGAAAGGAAACCAATTTCAGTACAGTTTGCTTTGAATTCCTATTTTTAAGCACATACCAGTCAGTAGATCGAAAAACACCAAGAGCCTTTCTATTTGCATGCAGGATGATCTTATGTTGAATACAGATGGCCATGCTCCCTGGGGAGCTCAACTAATAAACTTATCATTTGGATGCTAATTTTTTATTCATTAAGTAGTTCATTTTTAGAAAGTTGAAAAATGTGTAGATAAGGGATAAATAATTTTTTAACAACTACAAAACTGTAATAATTATATCTAGAAATAGGATTATTCTGGTAGAATCTGCCCCTGTAAGCCTGGAAAGGGAAGTCTGTAGCATATTAGAAGGTTTAACTTAGTTTTAAGAATTAGGATTTTAGCATCAGTGGAGGTATTTGATGCTTTGTGTCTACTTGCCATCTCCCATCTGTACCCAATGTCTAAGTTACCCTGATGAGGGCCATATATACTGAATGTTGATTTTTACAAAAGCAACAAATAAATCAAGGCATGCCACTGACTATCTGGGTAGCTGGGCTCTCTGGTCTTTTAATGTATCTCTCCCCCAATTTTTTTTAGATTGGAGCTTGTGGCCTTGAGTGGTACCATGTCCTGCCTAATGCTACCCTGGTGGGTAATTACAGAACAGAGAGGCTCAGAACCAAGACCCCTTGATATTAACTCACTAATTTTTTTCGTACACAAGCTTCCAAATAACAGTGGTTACCTTTTGTGATGTTTTCTAAGAGCTACATTCATGATTGTCTTTCTTCCTCCCAATAACCTCAGGAGGTGGGATTGCACAAGTTCACACAGCTGGATGGAGGTAGGAGAAGGAAGCCACACCACCTGGCTCCAGGTTTCCTGTCCTCGTCACTGTGCCAATTTGTCATCTTGGAGTGCCACTTATGCTTACATGATGCCCAGTGTCAGGAAGTCCATGAGCAAGAAGGGCATGGGCTCATCTTCAGTGGCCCAGTGGGATAGGATTCTCCTTCCATACTCTGCTTAATTCTGCCCCTTATCCTCTCCTGATACCCAGCACAAAGCTCACAGTCAGGTTTTTCCATCCTCAGTGAACAATCTGCATGCTTGTTCCTCCAGGAAGTTCTACCTTTTGTAATTCTTCAATATGATTTTCAATGGCAACCTTGAAATAGTTCAAATCTACTGAATGCTCAATACAGAGCAGATAAATAAATAGCCAGAGGTGGGCTCAGCACAAACCAAAAATGACTATTGTTATTAGTGGGGGAGCTGTGTGTCTGTGATTTTAAAAATATCCATCAGAGTTTCTCCCAAGCCATATATGATGTTTGTAATTGTTACAGTTGTTAGTGTCTGTGCCTATTCCTGGCTCTTCCTCAATCTCTTCACCTCTCCCCAAACTTTATTTTCCAGTTTTATTGTTGTACTGTTGTTTTTAGGACAGTATGACACAAAAACTTTGTGCAATCAGTGCCATGTCAAGAGAGCTAGAAAACAATCAAGACCAAAAA